GGGCTTGGACAACGACGGGAAGTGAGAAGAGCGGGCGCTGGATGGAGGCAGGCTGAAGGGCTGCATGAAAACAACTGCAGGGTTGTTTCCGGTGGTTTGCATCAAGGTATTGTGCCGATGGCAGAGAATGGTAGCTTGCGGAGGAGGGGAAGTTCAAGATAATTATAACCTCAAAATGAGATACAGCCAGAGCAGCATTAGCCCTTTGATACAACTCTAAAAGGGAAAAACTTGGATGCCGATGACTGTCTTGACAGAAACCATGAAACAAAAACTGCCCTAAAACCTGAAAACAACTTATAAATACTTCTAGGTAAATAAGAGGGGGAAAACTCACTCCTAATGGGTGGCAAACTTAGTTCCTAGGGCTCCTTTTTTTCTTCCCATCTGAACCAGTTTAGCCACCCCAGGGCCCAGGCCAATTCAAGTAGAGCAAAAGCCCCATCAGTTCATGCAGGGAAAATGTCTCTCTTCTGGGTGGTGGTTTGCTTTTTAACTGTATATGTTGAATGAATCTGAAGGGGGTTAATTGGTTCTAAAATATCTAACATGTATACATTATCGTTTTGTTGAGAAAATTATAAATTTTGCGTGACTAATTATTTATTTAACTAAAAAAATTGCAAATCAACTATTTACAAAACATACAAACCAAACAATAAAACAACTTATCCAGAATTGAGGCAAAATTATCATTTATCCAGAATCAGCCGTTTTCAAACGCACAAACCAAACAGACAACCAGCTTGTCCGGATCAACTGCTCATTCAGAATAAACTGCTTATCAACATAAGCTGGATAAGTTGCAGCTGCCCCAAACAGACCCTTAATTGAACAACAATATTCTTTCCTTGAAGAAAGATATTGATAAGAAAGTAAACGACTGCTAGATGCATATGAATGTTCACAGGACGAGGGATATCAGACAAATATGGATAGATTTTTTGTAGCAGAGTTGAGGGATTATTTGATTTAATATCGCTGTTTACTGTACCTTCAAATGATTAGAGGGATGGAAGGGGGCATGTGAGTGGAGGGTAGGGTCTTTAGTTGTGATGCACTATCTCAAATTTTAATGCAGAAAAAATTTCCGTAGAGATGCAATATTTGAAAAAAGATAGCAACGCTTCAAATTTTGATACATTAAATGGGCCCAGTCACCACATTGTGAAGTTTATGTTCCGAGTCTATAAAAAAAATTACTAGCATCAGACATTAAATCTGCAATTCTCAAATTTTAAAAAAATAGACTTGATGATGTTAGACCTAAATACTCAAATCAGTTATATTAGGGGCAAGTGAGTGGAGGGTAGGGTCTTTAGTTGTGATGCACTATCTCAAATTTTAAGCACAAATTTGTGTACGTAAGAATTACGCAGAGCTGCGTACGTCAGGGTTATACATAAGGTACAATGAGGTTATATCCGCGTTATATCATCTGTAACCTCCATGTAATCTACATGTAACATGTACCTTCTATTAAGTTCCACGGTTCTGCTTTCAAATATTTGTAAGTTACAGGTATGTTAAGGGGAGGTTACAGAGGGTATAATGCAGATATAACCCTCCTGTACCTTTTGTATAACTCTGACGTACGCAACGTTGTGTACGTCTTACATATAAGGCAGGAAATTTTCCGTAGAGATGCAATATTTGAAAAAGGATAGCAACACTTCAAATTTTAATTCTTTAAAGAGGCCAAGTCACCACATTGGGAAGTTTAACTTTTGAGTATATATAAAAAAAAAAAATACTAGCATCAGACATTAAATCTGCAATTCTCAGATTTTAAGAAAAATAGACTTGATGATGTTAAACATATTTAAATACTCAAATCGGTTATATTAGAGAGAGAGAGAAAGAGTTAAACAACCAAAATCCCAAGCTTAAGCAAAATCTACAGGTGTTAGTTAATACTGAAGCTTTGATAAACAAATAATTGCAATATGGTGCCTTGCATTAGTTTCATGATTAGCTTAAAGTAATATATTTGTCATCGATAAAAAATCTGTCGATTGTTCTCAAATTAAGATGTATTCAAATTACAAAAGAAGTACAACGCTTTGCAGTTTGTAGATGAAACATGTGCCTCGGAAGGATTACAATGAATTATCTGTATAAATTCTGTTATGCAATTTCAATAATAAATTTCTTCCTCATTCGAAACTCTTAAATGTTAAATTAAGATGTATCAAGAGGGGAGGGGGA